GCGGCACTAGGCCGCTCGCCAGAAGCGAAAGCTTGCAACCTGCTCTGATACAAAGAAGAAATTCTAAAAATGATAGAAATGGAAGTTGTAATTTTATTCTTTGAGAAAATATCAATATATAGTACAACTCAATAAACTCAATATGTAAAGATAAATAACAATTCCTAAAATTAAGCACATCATCATAATTATCAATCGTCTTGATCAATTTGTCTTCAATGATTCCCTGCTTTCCTCCATCATATATTTTTGTCAAGACTTGTTGCTGCTAATACCTCAGTTGAAGAAATCATCAAAATGCTATGTAATACACACACACCTCACTAGAGGTGTCAAAATAATTCGAGTCGTTCAAGCCTAGACAACCCATCCTTTTTGAAAAATTAGATCGTACTAGTCCTGACCCAATTCGAGTCAGTCCACACTATAATGAATGGGCTTGGCCATGCCAAGCTTGATTGTTCAATTAGATGATCCATTCGGACAGATTCAATTCTCTTGGTTATTAAAAGAATTAAAAACTATTAGAAAATAAAATAGTTATTAAGCTATCTTTTAGTTCCTAACATAGTGTCTTTCTTTCTAAATTATAATCAAATTTTATGTTTTCTAATTTTTTTTTTCGTAATATCTCATTTCTCACACAATATTATTTCTTTCTAATTGGGGCTTAGTTAAAATTGCATTCATTTTTCAAAAAAAATGAGAAAGGAACACTCAGTGTGCGTTTGGTTTGTGTTCTGTTTTCAGTTATGAATTCATTTTTATTTTCTGTTTTGAGAGATGATTTTAAAATTGCAGAAAACGCGTTTGGTTTAAAAAGTTTAGAAATAGTTTTATGACATTTTTTTTTCAATTAATTTGATTATTTAGTAAGGCATAGCAACTTTATGCTTATATGTGATGATTTAGTTTTATGGGTATATGTATTTGAGGTAGGTTTTGTGTGATTTTATTAATTATTTTAATTTGAGAAATGTTTAAGTTCATTTTACTTGTTTTGAGTTTTTTTTGAGTGTTTTTATTGAAAACACTCCAAACATCAAAAAGTCATTTTGAGTTTTATGTTGTAAAATTTTCCTTGTTTTCGAAAACACATTTTTGAAAATAACATACAAAACACGTTTTGATTGTTTTAGAAAACTGAAAATGACCTAAATACGGCAAACCAAATGCACTCTAGGGTTGGATAGGCTGCAATATTGGTAGATTTGCTCGCTAGTCCAATCCTCAAATTGGGAAACGTTTCGGGCCTGACATGGATGATACTCTTTGATGAGTCGGTTTAAGCCAATATGAGTCTCAATTGTGATGCTGTAGGAAGGCTGAGCTGGCTAGCAATATTGGCAGATTTGTGAGCCAGTATGATTTTCAAATTTGAAAGATGTTCCGAGATTAGTTCAGATGGTGATATTTTTAGTTGGATCAGCTGGTTGGATGGCCTAACCTGCAATATTAACGAATCAGTGGGCGAATTCGATCCTCCTTTTGGGCTTGGCTCAGATGTTAATTCTAGTTGGGCAAATTTAAGGTCACAAAGGACCTACACAAAGGCTGTTGTAAGTGGGTCAGTCCGATCGAACCTATAACCATCCATTGCGACACCCCCTAAGTTCGCACATGTCGCTTTTCTACGAGACAAAAATAGTGAACATATATGATTTCACTTAAAAATAAATAAACAAGCAAATAGAAAGGAAAGAAAAAAAGATAAGTTGCGGCCACCTCCACGAACACAACCGATTGTCATTGCAACCATTACCCATTACCCTCAGCCGCCAACTGCACAACGATAATCGACTTATAAGCAACTTTAGCTCATGTTTGATGACTATTATTTCAAATTCCTTCAATTCTCATACTTATTTTCAATCACACATTTATATAATAAAATATTTTGTACGTAAACTTAAAACTTTTCATACTTTTTAGCCACATATTTTTCAAAAATTCACTATTCAAAGCTTCATTTTCTTAAAATAATGGTCATCAAATAGGACTTATTGTCGCAAAACCACCTCACCATATTCGCCTCGTTTGACTTTTATTAAATCAAAACTTTTTTTCTTTCTCAAACTCATTTTCGATCACATTCACATAATATAATATTTTGCATGTAAATCCTAATATTTTTTCCACTTTTTAACCAAATATTATTCAAAAAATCACGATTTCAAAACTCATTTTTTATCAAAAGAACTCGTTAAAATAGATGTCAAATAGGGACTTGTTCTTCCTCCCACAAATATCCAAACCATTCCATCGTCTTCTTGTCCAAATCACTGAACAATTTAATTATAGAACCCAAAAAATTAAAATTAAAATCAATTCAATTTTTTGGAAGTAAATCAATTCAATTTAATGGAACGTCCTATTCGTTCACATTCATTGCGCAAATAGTCTCTATCATTTCAAATTTTGGCATTTGTAAACTAATTTCAACATTTTCTTGCGTAGTTGATTATTTCCGTCTCATTCTGTCAATATGGATAATTTGTGCAAAACATCCATATCATTTGCTTTTATTGCGCAAATTGTCTCTATCCTTTCAATTTTAGATTTTGGACCATCACATTGATCTTTCTTTGCGCAAAAGGTTCTACCATTTATTTTCTTCATTAAAACATTGTAAAATAACTAATTTACACTCCTCTTTAAATAAACAAATAGAAAAGAAAGAAACAATATATAAAAAAATAATTGCAATTAAAGTCTCAAATAGTGCAAACGAGCCCCACTTAAAATAATTTAGAACCTATTAACAAAAAACCATCTTCCAAAAAAAATTATTTTCCTCTTAGATGGTTTTGAATTAAAACAGTTAGGATTGAAGTGTGAATTAAGATCTTGAACGAACCCTCTAATGGAAGAAGAAATCCCATCTCCATACATCATTTTGTAAGGCAAAATAAACTTGAATAAAATCAGAGCAAAAATAAAAAACTGATGCACTTGGTATATGTGTATTTAATCAGCCACAAGAAGATAGAAACAAGAATTTGTTGAAAATAACTATATCCCTAAAAATCCTTTTTATCTTAACTGAAAATAAAAAGATATTGTAACACGAAACTTGATTACTGAAAAATCGTTATATCCCTCTATGGTGCTACAGGGATGGGGAAAATAGATATGGTGGTGGCAGCGATTGGTGATAGGGTGCGAAATTAGTTAGATGGGAAAGAAGAATCAATTTTTATTTTTCTTAATTTTTATACTTTTAATTCTCTTTTTAATTATTTTGGTGATGGTTGTGCGTGGTAAGAAAGAGGCAGGGGTAGAGGTAGGTGGGGTTAATTAGAAAGATGAAATATTTTTCTTTTGTTAGTATATTTTAAATTATGTTACGTGAAATTCGTTTGTACTTTTAAAAAACTTAGAACTCTAGCTGTGATTATCTCTTTAATTTTCTTATTTGTTTTAAAGACGAGGGTAAATTAGTTATTTTCAATTGGAGAAAATAGACGATAATGGTCTTTTTTGCAAATAAATATCGATCTAAGGACCCAATTGTCAAAATTGAAACGATAGGGATGATTTAAGCAATAAAGGCAAATCATAATGACGTTTTGCATCAATTACCTATAATTCACAGAATGAATTAACGGAATGAGACGGAAATGACAAATTTCGCAAGAATTGTTGAAGTAAGTGTGCAAATATCATGATTGAAACAATAATGACAATTTACGCAAATGAATACAAAATGATGAGAACGTTTTATAGTAATTACCCAATTTAATCATAGAAGAAGATAGGGGAGAGGTACACATGCATACATAAAATTTTGACTTTTTAGTAGTTCCCGTCAATTGAGAACCACATTGCAATGAAAATGATAGGTTGGTTAAGTGCCGAAATGCCCAAAACAAATAGATTGGGACCTGTAAGCTCGGTCAAGGACTAATACCGCAGTTTTCCCTCCAGTTTCATGACGTACATCTTGTCTACCACGTATCTTTTTCAGTATAAATTTTTCTCACTCGACTTAACAAGTTTTCACACTTCAAAGCAGATTCCACTTTTTTGGCGACAAGATGCATATTATAAAGCAAAATTGTGAAGTGAGTATAAATGGGAAAGAAAGAATAATTCTTTGCCTAGCTTGGAAGACTCTGTAGTCTGTACCTTGTTAATTTTACTACTTGTACAAAATGGTTCTCTTGTTCATAGCTCCACACACACATCACATGCATGTGGACTTAACTGTGAAATTGCACAAATTGGATTCTTAAATGTTCTTGAGGTAAATATTTCTGGGCAGCCCCCACTCTCTCACCACTTGCTGGCACTTATTATCTTTAGTTCATCTCTACAAGTTTCCATTGTCACTTTCAATGCATGAATTAGTATAATCAGTCATTAATTACGTGAGTATAAATGCTCGTGTGACTGACTGGGTTTATTTATTTAAAGTGCTAAACCCAGTTAATTGGATTTTGGGGGCTCAGAAAATTTTGTATTCCTAATTATTTTCTGTTTGAACATTGCTCCTTTCTCTATCGCATTGTGGGAATCAATATCTAAGTGGCAAGTTAGTTTTTTTCCTTTTTATAACTTTATTTTTGGAACAGCCCGTGTGTTGAAAATCTTAAATTTCTTGAATTCAAATTCTGGTTTTTTTTTTTGAGGCTTCCTCTCCTGATGAATCTGCTAGCAGGTGCTTGATTTCTTGAAAATATGGCAATTTGACTGGAAGAATCAATTGTTCTTATCCTGGGGTTCTTTGAAATGGAGGGCCATTTGCATATATTGAAAGTACTTGTTATGTTCATTTCTTGTTTGTGGGTGCCCATGGAAGTTATTGGCATTACTAGAAATACCACTGCTCCTGCTAGGCCAAGGGTGGTGAATGTTGGAGCTTTGTTTACATTAAACTCGGCTATTGGACGGTCGGCCAAGCCTGCAATTATTGCTGCAGTTGATGATATAAATTCTGATTCTAGCGTTCTTAAGGGCACAAAGATGAACCTCATCTTGCTGGATACAAATTGCAGTGGATTTCTTGGAACTGTTGAAGGTAATATTTGAGCATTATAAAGTTTGATGGTTCAAAACCAATTTTAAATACTACAGTATATAATTTGATAGAGTAGGACACACATAAATATTCAATTCAGCTCAATAAAGCTATGTGCCAAGTGCAAAATTCCAGATTTACATGTTTTCTTTTCTCTCTCTGTCCAAGACAATATCTTCCTATAGAAGTTTAATTGTTTTATAAATTTTTATTGGGAAGCATCTCTGTAGAAGTTGATTGCATAATCAGTTTCTTATAAAATTCTGACTTTGGAGGAATTGAAAAGGTTCCACAAACGAGTACGGTATCTTTTCTCTTAGCCTATAATGTTCTCTCGCCTCCAGAATCAGAAATATAAACAACTTGTTGCACATTTGAAGCTTACGATCTTGGCTATATGTAGCAACAAGAGGATATTGGGTAGAATCAAAATAAGTGGCAGGCCATGCTTCTTTCTCTTAATCTCAAAAAATTTGATTGCTTTTCCTTTGTCCCAACCTTTTGTTAGTTTCATAATGATACAAGGAAAAAGAAAAAAAGAAAAAAAAAGAGGTAAATAAAAATTTTTGACAGGGCATTCTTACTCATGTAGCTATGCAGCTTATGGAAAGAGATGTTATTGCTGCAATTGGTCCACAGTCGTCAGGAATAGCCCATGTTATTTCCCACGTCGTGAGTGAACTTCATGTGCCACTCTTATCATTTGGGGCTACAGACCCAACTCTCTCCGCTCTGCAGTACCCATACTTCCTTCGCACTACGACAAGTGATTACTTCCAGATGTATGCTGCTGCCGATCTTGTAGAATACTTTGGATGGAAAGAAGTAGTTGCCATCTTTGTTGATGATCATTATGGTAGAAATGGGATTTCTATATTGGGTGATGCACTTGCAAAGAACCGTGCTAAGATTTCTTATAAGGCTGCTTTTAATCCTGGAGCCACATCAAGTGACATAGATAGACTGTTGGTTGAAATGAACCTTATGGAATCGCGGGTTTTTGTCATACATGTTAATCCTGATTCAGGTCTTAAAGTCTTTTCAATAGCAAAACGTCTTGGAATGATGGGCAATGGATATGTTTGGATTTCTACAGATTGGCTTCCTTCTGTTTTGGATTCTTCAGATACTGTTAATCCTGATACTATGGATCTTATACAAGGGGTTATTGCACTTCGCCATCACACGCCAGATTCTGATATTAAAAAAAAATTTACTTCTCGGTGGAGAAACTTGAAAGATAAAGAAACCCCGAAGTTCAATTCTTATGCTCTATATTCATATGATTCTGTGTGGTTACTTGCTCGAGCTCTTGATGCTTTCTTTGATGATGGAGGAACTGTTACTTTCTCTGATGATCCCAGATTGCAAGACAGAAGCGGGACCTCTCTGCAACTAAGTGTCCTCCGAATTTTTAATGAAGGCCCAAAGTTACTCCAGAAACTTATTGCAACAAACTTCACAGGTCTAACTGGACCAATACAATTTGATTCTGAAAAAGATTTGATTCGTCCAGCATATGATGTTCTTAACATTGATGGAACTTCATTGAGGTTGCTTGGTTATTGGTCAAATTACTCAGGGCTTTCTACCGTTGCACCAGAAATATTATATACGAAGCCACCGAACACTTCTACCAGTAATCAACATCTCTATAGTGTTATATGGCCTGGGGAAACTACAACAAAGCCTCGGGGATGGGTGTTCCCAAACAACGGGAAGCCTTTGCAAATTGCAGTGCCATATCGAGTTACTTATGCTGAAATTGTGACTAAAGACGAAGGACCTAGAGGGGCCAAAGGATATTGCATCGACATATTTGAAGCTGCAATAGGATTGCTGCCTTACCCTGTTCCTCATGAATATATTTTATACGGAGATGGCCGAAGAAACCCTTCATTTAGCAACCTTGTTAATGATGTGGCACAAAGTGTAAGCACCTCCTTTCTGGTTACATGTACTATATACTGTGATTTGACTTATCCATTTTTTCAAGATTAGAATTTAGGCATATACTGAAACGAATACTGAAAGTAAACATCCTGGATTGAACTTTCAAAAGATACCTGGTATTTCCTCCCAATTTTTTTATATGCACTTCTTGTTAGAATAGCCACTGTGCTTCCAGTAATATAAGAATTAAGTAAGCAAAATCGAAAATAAAGATAGCAGCAGAGTGAAAAGAAATTTAGACTAGAATGTGACACCGTTTGACTAAGGATTGACGTCTGACAAAAACTGTGTCTTTATATTATGGGCCTGTTTGGTAGGATTTCTCATTTTCTACAGTAAATCAATTCTCTTTTTCAATCACACATTCTTCAATAAAATAATATTTTCCATCACATCAATAATTTTTTCATCTTTTCCTCATTGCAGATATTTCAAAGAAGATGACACGTTGAAGTAATAAAAATAATTTTTACGGATTTATTATGCTTTATAGGCCCTGTTTGGGAGGGATTAAATTTTTCTACAGTAAATCAATTCTCTTTTTCAATCACACATTCTTCAATAAAATAATATTTTCCATCACATCAATAATTTTTTCCTCTTTTCCAACCATACATTTCCCGTCATATTACTATTCAAAATCAATTCTTCCCCCAAAAAATCCCTACCAAACAAGCTCTATGTTTCTAAAGTTATTTCTTGGATTTCTACTTGTGCTTTTTATAATATCTTTATCAGTTGCACTTGTGCTCTTTCTAAGAGCAGATTAATTTTTACTAAACTACCTTGACAACCGTGATTCAAACCTTTCTTTTTATCAGGAATCTTATTTTTGTTTATTTCGATCCACAGAAATATGATGCTGCTGTCGGGGATATTACTATTACCACAAATAGGACGAGAAGTGTGGACTTTACACAACCCTACTTGGAGTCTGGGCTCGTTGTCGTTGTTCACGTCAAAGAGATTAAATCTAGTCCATGGTCTTTCCTCAAGCCATTTACTTGGCAAATGTGGGTTTTAACTTGTGTGTTTTTTCTCTTTGTGGGAGCCGTGATCTGGATACTCGAGCATCGGATGAATCATGAGTTCCGTGGCCCTCCAAGGCAACAACTGATAATGATATTTTGGTTGGTATATCTACTTTTCAATCATCAAACTCCTTCATTATGCATATATAATGCACATTTGTATCATGTCCCTTGTGTCCCTTATTGAGCACCTGTTATAAACGTACATACATTTAGTTTAAAAACAAATGAATACAAGTCTACGTAAAACTTCATGGGAGGAGAACTTGGATTACAACTCTTAAAATGTGATGCACTTAATAGTTAGTATACGGTATAAAAAAAACCAGTTTGGGCACTCAGCTTATGGTTTTGCTTCTTTTTTTTTTGGTCTTTCATCATTTTTTTGCAAATTTATCATGCAACTTTCATTTACTTACTCCATTAGTCAACGCAATCATTTGTGTAAAAACTAACAGAATATGCACGTGGAAGACGGATTTATTACTTATCCCTACTGGCTGACAGTTGTTGAAAAATGCTTGAGTTTATGCATGTAGGAAATCAGTCCTCTATGTGCATATTCTGTTAGTTTTCATTGCTGGAATTGACTGTAGTGACTGATGGGATAAGTAAATGAAAATTGAGTGCCAAGTCTACAACAAAAAAATAGACAAGTGACCAAAGTAGAACGCATGCAAGTGGAATGTCCAAACAGGTGTCTAATCCCTTAATATTCTCTTTATCGTGGTTCTAATCTGACGATAAGCGACTGAAATTGGTCCAGATCCAAAATTGAGTTTTTCGTCGCCATGGACTCCTCTTTTCAACTGAAGATAGATACAAGCCTTACATAAGTACATAAATAGTAATGCATAAATGTAATTTGTAATTAAACACGTACATTCATATCATGCTATTTCATGTTTGACATGCCCGTACTAAATTGTATGTTGGTCTTTCAGGTTTAGTTTCTCAACCATGTTTTTTTCACATAGTAAGTAAAATCCAGCTAATATATTTTATTTTTTTTTGGCTTTCACCATTGATTTTCTTGGAAGTTTTTTGTGATTATTTCAGTATCACAATCTAACACTCGACTGATTGGCTTGGAATGTTTAGGACAGGACACTGTAAGCACCCTGGGACGTTTGGTGCTGATCTTGTGGCTGTTTGTGGTGTTAATTATCAATTCAAGTTATACAGCTAGTTTGACATCAATACTCACAGTACAGCAGCTGAGTTCAAAAGTTCAGGGAATTGACAGTTTGGTCTCAAGTACTGATCCAATAGGGATCCAGGATGGGTCATTTGCGTACAATTATCTTATTGATGAGTTAAATGTTGCGGAGTCGAGGCTCCGAATAATGAAAAGCCAAAATGATTACATTAGTGCCCTTCAGAAAGGTCCGAGTGGTGGAGGAGTAGCTGCCATTGTTGACGAGCGCCCCTATGTTGAGCTATTCTTATCCAACACAAAGTGCAAATTCAGGATTGTGGGAATGGAGTTCACAAAAAGTGGATGGGGATTCGTAAGTATTATAGTTGCAATTTGAACTTTTTATAGCTCACGCACCAAGTTTTGTGATATGTTCTTGTCCAATTCTGAAGTGTTTGTATAAATTTGCTAAAATTGACCTGGTTTGTTAGTGTTAATTTATTCATATCTGCTCCATAGTTGTATAACCCCACGTGGCCTGGGGGAAGGAAAGGCTGTGTTATATATTTATATATATATTTAAGACTTGTGCAAACTGCCATCAATGCCTTTACCAGAAGACATCACCATCCCCCGGGGATTATAAAATCCCTCCTCAGTCCTCACCCTGGGAAGGGAAGGGAAGGGAACATTGTTGTGTTAAACCATGAACTACTATGAAGCGTTTTTCAAATGGAAGCAATATAGGGTGGGGCTATCAGCCAATCCATAGGCTGGTCTGGTGTAGCTTTGACTGGTGGTTACAATGGTACATTGGAAATAGGTTGTGCCAATCTCGACTAACGATTTAAATTGGGAGTGATGATAGTCAGGCCGTTTCTTTATTGCATTCTGCTTCTAATTCTGCATTGACAGTGTAGTCCCATCTGAAACTAGTTTTAAAATTTGTTGGTCAGGTATTTCCAAGGGACTCACCACTGGCAGTAGATTTATCAACGGCAATCCTTCAACTTTCAGAAAAAGGCGAGCTTCAGAGAATCCAGAATAAATGGATATCCCACGATAAATGCTTTGGACAAACCAACCCAATAGACGAGAACCAGCTTCGGCTCACGAGCTTCTGGGGCCTGTTTCTTATATGTGGCGTTGTTTGCCTCCTTTCTTTAGTATTCTTCTTTTGCAGAGTTTGCTGGCAATACAGCAGATACAGCGCAGAAAGAGAGAAGCATGACATTGAAGAACCTGAACCTGCACCCGCACCTGCAGCTGCACCTGCATGTCCCGTGATTCGATGCACGAGCTTCAAGGATATGATTGATTTTATGGATAAGAAAGAGGATGAAATCAAGGAAGTACTTAGAAGGAAGAGTAGAGAGTCCAAAAGGCACTGCCCCAGTCAAGTTTCCGTTGGGCAGAGCAGTTCACCAACTTGAAAAAAACATGTCCATTGACATGTATATGATTTCAACATTTCAGTGTGTATGTTACATAATCAGATAGCCAGTATACAGTGAAATTGTCAATCGTGAAAATTGGCAGAAAAAATAGTAGAAAAATCTTTGTGGGGTGCTTATTGGTGCAGAATCAGTATAAATTTCCTGAAACAAGAAACAGATTTGAAACTAGAGAGTTTTATAAAGAATCATTTTATTATAAAACTTATTTTAACTCATATATTTTTCTAATAAAATAATTTTACACGTGAATTCATAACTTTTCATACTATTTAGAGTAATGCTATTTAGCTGCAACCCCAATCTAGGTAGCCGACATTAAATAATGTGTGAAATTAAATAAATCATTTAATTCATCCTTTTATTTAGCTTATCATCTAACGTTACCTAAATTAAAATTGTGACTATATAGCATTACTCTGCTTTTTAATAGAAAAAAGATAAATGGCCAGGACCAGATGGGTCCTAGACAAATGTAATTATTTAATTCTTCATTTTATTTAGCCTATCATCCTTAGTTATTAGACTCAACTCGGACAAGGTACTGGATTTGGGGTTACTGGTTGAATCGGTGAATCATTGCATAAAAATCTATATAAGCAAAATTATTTTTTAAAATTCATTTTCACTTTCACTTATTATTTAGGTTTATAAAATAAAGTAAAATGTTTGACCAAAATTTTTATAAAAGTACTTTTAGAAAACATATATATGATATATTGAATGCATATAACTTATTACACAGGAAAAGTATTGAAATAATCTACAACTCCAATGATAAAGAACTAATTATTTTACTTAGAGGTCCAAGGTTTAATTCTTTGGACCCCCAAAATTTTAAAAGTCAATTTTGAAAATCAGTAAATCGGCCGAGTTAACTCAGTCAAAACCGTCGGTTAACTCGGTCAAAGTCGATTTTTGACCGAGTAATGTGCATTCCTATTAAATTAATTTATCCGGTCCGGGCAAGGGCCCGGGTCGCCCATTTTTCGATCTGACCGGCCGGTTCGAGCCGATAAATATACTATCATCTAACGTCACCTAAATTGAAACTGTGACTATATAGCGTTACTATACTTTTAAATAAAAAAAATAAATGGCCAGGGCCCTGGACAAATGCGGCACTGGTGATGCAATAGGATGCTATTTCATAACGAATTCTTTAAAAAAATTATCGATGCTCCTTTAAGAAGAAGAAGATTGGTTGAAGCAAGGATATCTTGCCAATTTGTTCGGACTTTTCACTTTGAATAATTTCTTCAAACAAATACAAAACTAAGGATCCTAAAAATAAAAAAATCCTGACCTAAAAAGATACAAACTTCGTATTACTCATTGAAGTTGTCCTATATCATTTATCCTTAATTCCTTTTTGATCAATAAAATGATTTTGAATCTTCTTGACAATTATTAAACAATGGTGGAAACTTTTGAAGGATCTCAACAAGGAATTGTTGGGAAAATATTTAATTTACAATGAGGGGCCGAAATATGTAATTAACTGTGTA